CCGATAGAGAACAAGTAGAAACCACCCGTAATAGAAAGGAGGACGCAAAAAAGAGAAGAAAAGGAACAGGAAAAATAAAATGCAGAAAAAGAAAACAAATAAAGACAGGGTGAGAGAGTGTGGAAAGTGCTAGCAGAGTGGAAAAAAAGATGTAGGTAAAGAAGGGGAGAGAGCCGGAAAAAAAAACTGTATAAAAAAGGACAACGGAAACTGAAGGATGGCTGGCGAGTTTGGGAGAGGACAAGGATGAGCGGCAACATCGGACACAAGAGAAAAATGTGATTGAAATAGTAAAGGGGAAATTGGCAATCAAGTTAAAAGGAGAAGGAAGAGAGAGCACGGAAAAGATGGGCACATAAAGACGTATATATAAAATGGTACAAGCCATAAAAGGGATAGAAGAGCCAGGCAGGGGACCAGATTGAACCGGGGAAAGGGTGGGGTAGAAATCATAGAGAGGGTAGAAGTTAGAGGAGGGGGAAAACATTGCAAGAGAGCGGGAAGAAATGGGTGGAAATAGAAGAGACACCCAAAGCGGATAAAGTGGGATGGAGCTGTGGAGAACGTGAATGAAGTACACAGGAGGGTACAAACAATGGCGGAGCAGGAGGTGGCCTCACATAACAATAGCAAATGAAAACAGGAGGGGGATATTAGGGACGCTAGACGCAGGGGGCTAAAACAACTAGGGAGCGAACAGAGAGGATGAGATATAGTAGCAAATAGCAGGAGAAAACATGAGAGAGTGGAAGGGGTTCAACAATAAAATTGAAATGAAAATGGCACGAAAGGAAACTGCGCAAAAAAGACAGAATGGCCTGGAAAGCCTGGACAGGATCCATACACACCGAATACCATTGTAATTATTTGGGATCTTAGAATTAGGTATCCACAAAATTGCTTTAATCCACCTAACACCATTTCGGGAGTCACGCTCCGACAGAACCAATGGAGCAGTTGTCGAGTTTTAAAGCTCTCCCTTTTAAGCGTACCAGTCCTCCTGAGCATATGGGCCGCTTTCTCTCCAGATCATTATAATGGGCGATTGGTGTTTGCTCCCACCATACCTGCATTAAATTCGAACCCGTTCGCCACAGCGAAATTCCCAATCACCGTGCACGCGCAGTCGCGAATCAACGACGCGTCGCCGTCGGTTGGCCGGGGCCCATCTTACACGTTTCCACCAAGTGGAACGCCGATCGGAGAGTGCCTACATATGCAGTCCCAGTATTCGTCCGGTGTCAAATTACGAAACCAAGACAGTCGCCGAGAGAATCTCGACGAGTTCGGGCGATAGTCGCCGAACCGGCTATCGGTACTCATTAGTGCTGTTACGAACCTGAATCACTTCGACTAGGCCAGCGGCGTCTGAGTCATCGCCAAGGTATTTCGGGTAATTAGAGGCTCATTCGAAAGGGTTCGCGGGCTTTTGAGCAATACCTTCCCCTAGATTTCGGGTAAGACAGAAGAGGCACGAACTGGATCAGTGACCTAACCTTGTTCGCCTTCCAAAATTGTTGTTTATAGCGGCTTCAGGCAACTCCCATTGCATCCAAAGTCCGTTCTTTTGGGGTACGCAGCAGATCTTTGGAAGCTGGCAACGTTGCCAATTTGAAAGTTGTGTTCGGGTCCGGTTGGTGTTTTTCAATGTTAACGAACCGAAGAAGTTTTTGCACCCTTCCGCCAAAGAACCTTTGCCGTGTACGAAGTAATCGTGAGCAATCGATTGGTTAGGCTCAAATGGGCAGGCAACGCGCGCGGCCAATTTGTAGAAGAGGGACGAATATGTACGTGATCTTGCAAGTTCTCGCCTACTTTAAGGTTCTTTTTACCGGCAATGGCCCAGACTTTCCAAATGTGTCTGGACCATTCCTGAATTCATCAGGATTTGGGGGGGAGTTTACTGTACCAGCCGAAACAATCACCTCCTTGGTCGCGTAGGGTTTAATGAGTTGTCTTTACCCAGCACCTCTACTCCTTTGACATCTAACTCGTGGTCGGACTAAGGCTTGGATACCTGGCAGTTCAGGGCGACGAGAAGGTTCCGTCGGTCCTGTTTTCTCCCGAAATGCTTGGCCGCGCTCTGTTCTTCTGCCGTGAATTGGGTTGGCGCGAAATTGCTACCCGAGGCTTTCGTTCGAATTATCGCTGCCTGTAGCGAGTTCGGCGTATGATTCGAATCATTTTGTTGTAAATGGGAAGTCACGTTAAATTGCCCGGCCCAATTTCAGCTCGCCCTTGGCCGAATCGTCGGTACTGCTGCTCCGTGTAGGTTTTTCGAACTTTCTGGTTAGGGGCAAAAACTGTGTGAAATCCATCCGTCGTTGCCGGCTTTTCGCCCAACTGTTCAAGTGATCGAAGCTATTCCCGCGCAAAGTACAGCATGAAGTTAATCAAACTGGTTCCTCGAGTCCCGTTCCGCGCGGACACCGCTTCCTGTCCATTGGAGCGCGATGCGCTCGGAGCCTCGCTTTATGGTAGTTCCCCAAAAGGGGCTTTTTTGGGGCCCCCCCGGCGTTTTCGCAGGGGGTCATAAGCCCCGGTATCTACGGACGAAAAAAACAATGGGATTCCTCTCAACTTGAGACACTACCTCTGAATCGGGCGACGGATATGACCCGCCCGAGGCAGCAAAACCCTCCATTCGGGAGATTTATA